ATATATATATGGTAGTTTTTTATTTTTATTATTTTTATTTTTATAGATATTTAAATTCAAAAATAATAACTTATTATTAACTAAATAACTAATTATTCCATGCGGCTTTTTTTTTAGGCTGCCACTTCCTCTCCTTTTAATAATATATAGATTTTCCTAATTACCATTTATAGCTACTATTTAGTTATTACTAACTTGTATCACTTGCACTCAAACGTGCAACGTATACAGCCTGTGTTAACTGTATTCGCTCTCGCAACAAATACAACGTGTATCAACTGTATTAGTTCGCACAATTATATTCGTTCGTGCTACAAATACAATTTGTATCCACTGCAATCAAGGTGAAATACAAGGGTGTATACAAAGGATATAATTTGTATCGATTGTATACGGGTGTATACAGAGGATACAATATGTATCAACTGTATTTGTTCGTGCAATGAATACAACTAAGGTGAAATACTAAAATACAGAAAGCGTTCTAACCAACTGAGCTACAAGTGCTTGTTGCTTTCTTATTTCAGTCAAAACAATTCTTATTTCATGGATTTGCTATAAAATTCAAATACAGCTACGAATGGTAAATTTACCGAAACTATAGCTACAAATGGTAAATACAGTGTAAATGTTCAATGGGCCTTCCTAGCTATTTACAATGTGAAAATTTAAAAAGTATCCTTTTTAGATCTTTTATGTGTAAAAAATAGATTTCTTATGTGTATAAGTAAATCTCTCATGTGTTAAGATAGAGATAGGATCATAAAACTAAACACAAGTTTGTAAATACCCACAAAACCATTTGACCCCATTGAATTGTTCCATTAAAAACGCCATGTCATATATTATATAGGGTTATAATGTATTCGAAAAACACCTTTAAAAAAAAACAGCAAAGCACTTCTTTTTGGGTAGTTACACATTTGGCACAGCCAAACTATTTACCGTCTCTAGCCCATTATATATAGTTACACAAATAGCCTGCCAGATTTAATGTTTACTTTTTTTAGCCTGCATACATAGATTATACGTAGTTACAAATATACTACATATAAATTATACATATATTATACCTCCTCTGGCTATTATATTTTCCGGCTATTTTTTTGTTCGAGCGGCTATTTAAGTTAAATTTTTAATATTTTTTTCCCCTCACTTTCTCTTTGGGCCGGTCAGACTTGTAAACGTTTTAGCCCATGCATCCTCAAGAAGTTAACAAGACAGCCCTTTCATTAGCTTTTTGGGTTTGCGTTAGCATTTAAACCTCCTTTTATCTCCTTTCAAGTTTCGTTGTTAGCAACTTCATCTCCATGTACACGCAATGCATGAGAAAGATAACCAAGAAAATGCAAAGTCTTCTTTACAAACATGAATATTAGCTATATTCTGCAAGTTTCAACCAATAACCCCATAATATGGTTACTTAAACATTCAAAACAAAAGATAATTCTTTCTTCACAATAGGTGATTCCTCAGGAAGAGGTTGCTTCAGCTATGTTAAATGATTCCAAGAATTATGCTAGTAAAAACTTTTTCTTCTTTATATAGTCTTTAACTGTGTTAGCTTTCTTCAGACAAACACCTTCACGACAAAAACAACCTTTTTGAGGTTCCTTGTCTTTATCCTAAACTTTCTTCATTTTGCAGGCTTCTGCTTAGTTTTGTTTTTATTTCATTTCACATGCTTTTTTTAGGTGAAAATGGGACCACGTTTGCTGCATGGGACTCTTCATGCTACCATATATGAAGTTGATAAGATAAGGGGTGGCTGTGGTGATTGTTGTGGCCCGGTAATCTTTTCACACACTTAACTTAATTTATCTTTGTTTATATCAGGAACAACTTTATGATTTTAACTTCTGTGTATGCATTTTCTGTTCTATAATATCATTGCAGTTCTGTGTATCCATATAATAACATCACAATCATTCTATATTCACTTGACTCTAGATTCGAAATTTGCTCTATAGGATCAGATAATATGCAATGCAAAAAAGAGATAGAAAGAAAGGAGGAGGAAGAAAATTTGACAAGTTAATTTGTGTGCTAGTAGTCGTTGCTCATTGTTCACATGGTTAAGAGGCATATTTGTAGTAAAACTATGAAATCATGGTTCATTGTCAATGAACTCATTCAATATGTTATTGTTGCTTCGAGTGGGGCAGGATTTTCACGAAAGAGGTTCATAATATGAAGAAGTGTCGGGGCAAAGGGAAAGACTAACCTTAACCCGCCTAAATTTTAACTCGCCTTGTCATGTCCCGTTTAATATTTCTTCCTACTTTTTCCTAATTAAGCCTGAGACTGCATGAACTCATTAGTTTGAGGCTTAATATATACAAATGAATTCTCAATAGTCAATATACTGTTTACATGTATGTTGCTGATTTCTGATACTTGATCTTTGATAAAGATCCGCTTTGTAGCCTCTAACGTCTTTCTGATCTTCATATTGTTATCGTAGACTGCATCTCCCCAGAAAGTATCAAGAAGATTTCTAAACAATGTCAAGAAATTGTTCTTTTGTGCGCCAGAGGTACTATGTCTATACAACCAGCATTATGTTTGCACTTGTATTGACTTGTGAGCTTCAATTCTCTCTGTCCATTACTTGCTTTAAGCTTTTCAAAACCTGTATTGATAATATTGCAGATTTCTGGTACAAAATTCTATGCAACAATAGATTTAGATAAGGCAAGAGTTGGGAGGACCAGAATCTTTGAAAATGACCCTTCCAACCCTCGGTGGTATGAAACATTTCGTATTTATTGTGCACATGAGATTTCTAACATCATTTTTACAATAAAAGATGAGAATCCTGTTAGCGCGACACTAATTGGAAGAGCTTATCTTCCTGTTGAGGAAGTCTTGAATAGATATGTAGTCGATAGATGGGTACCAATAGTAGATGAAGACGGCTATCCAATAAGTGGTCGTTCAAAAATCCATGTAAGGTTGCAGTTCTTTAATGTTAAACAAGACAGTAATTGGTCTAGAGGAATTAGTTCCGCGGCATTTGGAGGAGTCCCTTATACCTTCTTTAAAGAGAGACAAGGTTGTCAAGTTACACTCTATCCTGATGCAGACATCTCAGATGATGATATCACAAACTATCTCAAGTCTCAAGGACTTTTCGAACCTCAAAGATGTTGGGAAGACATTTTTGATGCAATCAACAATGCAAAGCACTTAATTTATATAGCTGGTTGGTCTGTATATACTAAAATCACCTTGATAAGAAACCCAAAGAGGCCAAAGATCGGTGGAGACCTTACTCTTGGCGAGCTTCTTAAAAAGAAGGCGAGTGAGGGTGTTAATGTTCTCTTGCTAATTTGGGATGACAGAACTTCAGTTGAGGTCTTAAAAAGAGATGGACTAATGTCAACCCATGATCAAGAAACTGCAGAGTATTTTAAGAACACAGAAGTCCATTGTTGTTTGTGTCCGCGCAACCCTGACAGTGGAAGGACTGTAACTCAGGGGTTTCAGGTTGGTACAATGTTTACTCACCATCAAAAGACTATTGTGGTAGACAGTGAAATTCCAGGAGGGATGTCACAGAAAAGAATGATAGTTAGCTTTCTTGGTGGTATTGATCTTTGTGATGGGCGATATGACACTCGTGAACACTCCTTATTCAGGACATTGGATACAGTTCATAAACAAGATTTCCATCAGCCTAATTTTCCAGGGTCTTCAATCGCGAAAGGTGGTCCAAGAGAGCCCTGGCATGACATTCATTGCAGGCTAGAAGGACCTGTTGCTTGGGATGCCTTGTATAATTTTGAGCAAAGGTGGCGAAAACAGATTGGAAATAGATTTATCTATTCTATGACTGAGCTTGATAAATTTATTATTCGTCCAACAGAGGTTACAGCATCGAAGGATAGAGAAACGTGGAACGTTCAGATATTTCGATCCATTGATGGTGGTGCTGTTGTTGACTTCCCTGGAAAACCAGAAGAAGCTGCTGAAGTAGGCCTTGTTACCGGCAAGGATAATGTCATTGATCAAAGCATCCATGATGCATACATTAGTGCCATTCGTCGAGCTAAGAATTTCATTTACATTGAAAACCAATACTTTGTTGGAAGCTGCTATGGTTGGAAACCATCAGAAGATATAAAGCTCGAGGACATCGGAGCTTTGCATCTTATCCCAAAGGAGCTCTCACTTAAGATAGTGAGCAAGATTCAAGCAGGAGAGAGATTTACAGTTTACGTTGTTATTCCAATGTGGCCAGAAGGTATACCAGAAAGTGATTCAGTTCAGGCAATTTTAGATTGGCAAAGAAGGACAATGGAAATGATGTATACAGACATATGTAATGCCCTTCAGGCTAAAGGAATTACTAATGCTGATCCTAGAGATTACTTGACATTTTTCTGCCTTGGCAACCGTGAAGTCGAAAAGCCTGGAGAATACAAACCTCCTGAGAAACCAGATCCTGATACTGATTATGCTAGAGCTCAAGAGTTCAGGCGTTTTATGATCTATGTTCATTCAAAAATGATGATTGGTAAGTCAACAATTTACCATTTTCAGCTTTATGTTCTACTAGAATTTGATCAAACTAATGCTAGCTTCTTTCCTTTTTTCTTTTTCCTTCTTGAAGTTGATGATGAATATATCATAACTGGATCCGCGAACATAAATCAAAGGTCAATGGATGGTGCAAGAGACTCAGAGATCGCTATGGGCGGCTACCAACCATATCATCTTGCAGCTAATCAACTACCAAGAGGAAAAATATATGGTTTTCGAATGGCATTATGGTGTGAGCATCTGAACTATGCAGATGATTCGTTTGTCGATCCAACGAGTCTAGAATGTGTTAGGAAAGTAAATGGTATGGCTGATGAGAGTTGGAAGCTATATTCTAGTGATACATTTGATTTAGATCTTCCAGGCCACCTTCTTAGCTACCCTATAAATATTTCAAACACTGGACAGATTACAGCAATTCCTGGATTTAACTTCTTCCCAGACACAAAAGCTTCTGTTCTTGGCACCAAGTCTCAGTTACTACCACCTATCCTCACTACATGATGTATGTACACTTCTAGAATGATACCAACCAAGAACATGTAATATCTGTAAATGTGACACTTTGGAATAATTCTTTGAGTTATAACCATTTACCAAAATTCATTTGTACTCGGGTTAAAAAGGGCAGCCTGGTGCACAAAGCATCCCGCACCCCAAGAGGTGTGACGTAGGCAGCCTACCTTAACGCAAGCGTTAGTGGCTGATTCCACGACTTGAACCGGTGATCTATCTTAACAAGCGTTAGTGGCTGATTCCACGACTTGGACCTGTAACCTATAACACGGAGACAACTTTTTCGTTGCTCCAAGGCTCCCCTTCTCATTAATACTCAGGTTATGAAGTGGTTTATAGTTGGATGATGTTAGCAGCATATTATAGCAAACATATAAACCTTTGGTTCCCTTATTGCATTCAGGTCCTTTTGTTTCTAGACCACCCTTCAGAAGAAAAGAATCACATGTTTGGTCGAGTCCTTGGATTGGAAAAACTTTCCTCTTTTAGTGGGCCTTACGCAATATGAATCCGATTAGTCGGGCCAGTAAGTTTCCGAAGACCGGATGATTAAATAAAGAAACAAAAAAGAATCACATATTTGGTTCTTGCCTCATTTAGAACAGCATTTGGTCAATGGGGAAATGGTTTCATTCAATTTGCTTCTTTTTCTTTTGCTTGAAATTATTGTCCTGGTAAAAAGAATCTCAATGGACAAAGGCCTTATTACTTTAATTACTCTAGTCTCTAGGTGAGTTCCATTAAAAGGATTATTGAGTGCAAGAATGAGGCAATGCAATAATACATTATTGTCGAGTTATACAAGAAAAACAAAAACTAAAAGGGGAAAATTTAGGATTCTAAATTCTAATAAAAATTAAGTTATTGAATTTACACCTATTGTGAGAGAGATCCCCACCTATATAGACCTCCCTTTCCTAATCTATTTGGTTTCATTATCTCCAACCGGAGGGTCTTAAAATTAAAAGCAAGTAGTTATAAATAGAGAGAAATATAACATTTGCCATTAACCTACTCTCTGTAATAACATCTCTATATGACAACACTTCACTATAAAAGTCAAGTTTTTTCGAAACCAATTTTCATGTTATGTTATGATATATGTTCTATATAACGGCACTTCACTATAACACCTAAAAATATTCGGAACAAACGAGACTGTTATAGAGAGGTTTGACTGTAATTGGGAAAACTAATGTTAAGGAAGAAGAAGAATAAAGTTTTTCGCCTCTTGCTTGATATGCGTAAATAATAAGGAAGGCACACAATAGAGAAAATCATCTTTCTCTTGAATCCAAGACTTCATAATCAAGAAGATTCAAATTATTTTGCTTTTCTTTCTCGTTTTCCACCAAAATCAAGCTAAGAAAAGTAAATTATTTTCTCTCATTTTCTCCACTATTTATCCTCTTTTCCTAGTGGCCAAGCATAAAGAAATAGTAAAATAAATAGTGCATTTTAATTGGATAAAAGTAGATAAAAGAATAGCACAAACAAAAGGAGCCAAATTTCAAAGCTGCCAACTTGGAGAATTTTCTACCTTTCCAAAATGGAACCGTGGAAGGACAAATTTGTCTTTTCCTTCAACAAGAATTCTCAAAAGGACCCACAACCCATACATTTACCCACCTCCATTAGCACCAGTCCAGCAAGCCTGCACAGCTACCCCCCCCCCTCCAGTAACCCCCCCCTCTTTCATCACCATTTTCCCATCTCCATTCTTGACTTTCTTCTACAAATCCACAAAACATATTGATAAAACCAAGGGGAAAAAAACATAAATAAGAACAAACACACCTATCTGAATTTTTATTTTTTATTTTTTTCCCTTCTTGTTTACTGCTTAATTACATAAGAGCAAAGAAGCAGAAAAAGGCTGAGAAATCGTAAGTAATGCAACCCCAGAAAATTTTATTCATTTTAACACCCAAATCTCTATTTTTTTCCTAGAAAAAATTGGAAAGTTTGAATCTCTTTAGTTTAAACTGCAGGTAAGATGAATTTTGTGTCAGTATTGGAGGTCCAGAAGTTCAAATCGATGCTTTGACGAATACCCATTTGTTTATTTCACAGTGTAAATGCAACTTTGTAGATCAGTAGCCTCCTGGATTTCACGTTTCTTCGCTTGCATGGGGTCAGTCATTTGATTTTAATTTCGTTTTCATATAAAACATTCTGCTATCCCTTTTCTATTTTCCCCTTTTGGGGTTGGTGGTTTTGTATTTCACACACACACACACACTCATATACACTCCCCTCAAGGGTTGGTTGAGTCGTTGAGGCTAAGATAAAAACCTGGAGATCTCAGTCCCCATTTGTGCTTGTGGCCTGTAGCTGGTTGCCTGGTAGATTAGTTGAGGTATAAGCACTGAGTCTATCTTTTTATGTACTCTCTCGTCTCAATTTATGTGATCGTATTTGACTGAGTACGGAATTTGACAAAGACAGAAAAACTAAAACATCCCATATATATTTCTATGGCTATTAGTTATCTCATTAAGTGATTAAGGTTAAAAAGGGAAGTCAAAGTTAAACTATTTCTAAATATAGAAATGTGTCATTCGTTTGGAAAAGAATTAGTGTCGGATAAATTGGGAGAGAGGGAGTGATACACTGTAAATAAATGACAGAAGGAATGAAAAGTTAGAAAGTTTGATAATAATATTTTTTAGAATGCTTTTCTTGGTTTAGTGGGCAATAATTGGCTTTTATTTGGTGGTTTGGAATCTGAGGTACTTGCTTATAGGCTAAGCAAGCAATAATAGTGAATAGAAAGGAAGATGAGCTGGTGCTTCTTTTTCTGTTTCTTTTTGGTTTTTTTCTTCCCATGCTTTTGCTTGTTATGTTGAGGGAGTTTGTTGCTAGAATGTTATATTCTATATGTAATTGTCTTGCTAGCTACAGTATCAAATGCTTTGCTTCTAGCCATGTATAATATATGTTGTTTAAAAATCGAAATTGAGGCATGTTTTAGACGTATGCCTTTGTGTTCTGTTTTGGGGTTTTTTGTTGAATATCTTCGAGCCGTCATTGGTGCGATGATGGAAAAGTTGAAGGAGACATGGAGGGCACTTTTTAATGTAAGAGTTTATTTCTGTACTATGTCTCAAATTTGGTGTATAGTAGATTGAGGATTCCGTTTCCATTTCTGGAAAGCTTCGATGCCATTTTTCATTTTGCTATAAGATACTAATTATCTTCTTCCGTGTAATGATAGCTAGGATTAGTTAAGCACCCAAAGGCTGAAAAAGTATTGTATAAGTTCGCTGATCTCCTTGAACAATTTGTTCTCAAAGAAAGTTCCTTTTGTGGGTTATACTACTATAGAGCAAGATGAGTCAAATATGAGTAGAGGAATTTGTTTAAGTAGTACTCCGAGCTACACTATTTCATGACAAAAACTTATCTTTTGCATTGCATTCAGTGGACTAGCTTTTGATTTTTGAACACTTCCCTATTGGAGTTTTGAAGATAACTTTGGGTTAATTGTCTCCTATTTTTAAAGTTTTGATTGAAATGATAGCGATGTGAGCAATTCTGGAAGCATATTATTGCTTTATTTTCTACTTTGGGCATTGGAGAAGGGGTTGGTTCCTCTAGCAGACCTCTTAAATCTTAATCTTTCAGTGAAGAAATCCCTGTTAGTTAGAATGGTTTTAAAGTCCTTTTTGGTAGTATTGGAACCACAGCAGATGACCTGATCCGTTCCTGAACAATGCAATCAGAAATACTTAATGCGTTCCAGTACTCTATATTTTCTTTTAGGAAATCCGAATTTGGCTTGAAAGACAAATTATTAGGTATTGGAATTAGGGGTGGGCATCGGTCGGTTCGGTTCGGTTTTGTAGAATTTCGGTTCGGTTTTTGGTTTGTGATTTTAATAACCAAAACTGAACCATAATAACTTCGGTTCGGTTTAATCGGTTCGGTTTTCGGTGGAATTTCGGTTCGGTTAATCCAAGTGCTTCTACTGTCTTCAAGAAAATTCCAACATCTCTACGTTCTTCAAATTCATATAGTTCCCTTTATGATAATCCCTTGACTGAGCTAAGACAAAACAGAAGCAGCGGCAGTGGAAGCACTATAGGAGAAGCATTGGGTGTTCATTTGCTCCAAAACCAACTCAATGAGACACCAAATAAACCTGAAAAATCCAATCTTTGTGATAAAGAAAATGCTTTACCGTTTAATTGGACAAATAAGGTTGTGAATAAAGAGTCTGCTTTGAATGACTCGGTTCTGAAGGCATCTTCACTTCAGTTATGTATACAAAAGAATGAACCAGAGTCCAAGATTGGGTTGAAAATTTGGGAACATGCGGATACAGAAAACCGAACAGAGTCCAAGATTGGGTTGAAAATTCGGTTCTTCGGTTTTTCGGTTTAACCGAAAACCGAACCATTAAAACTGACCACCGAACATTTAAAAACAATAAATCACAAACCGACCGAATAAATCGAAATTTTCGGTTCGGACGGTTTTTTCGGTTCGGTCGGTATTATGCCCACCCCTAATTGGAATGAGAAGTGCTCAGGTGGAGTGGATTGGATAGTGGGGATTCAAACCCCAACTAATTTGAGATTGAAGTGTAATTGTTGTAGTTGGTAGCCTAAATTTTAGGTTCTCGAAAAATTTAGATTCTTTAAATCTCCCATATATTCCTGCATTGTCATACAATTTCTGCATCGGTGAAGAGGTGTAAGAGGCTGGCCCTGGAGGGTCTAAGGAGAGGTAGAGGCAGGCTGAAAAAGTATTAGGGAGAGATGATTAGGCAAGATATGGCGTTGCTCCAGCTTACTGGGGGCATGACCATGGATAGGAAGGTGTATTGGTTGAAAATTAAGGTAGAGGGTTAGGACAGGTAGCCGAGCGTTGTCCTTGTCGGTATCAGTAGCTTTAGTACGTGATTTAGTTGCTGCCATGTGACCAGGAGGTCACGGGTTCGAGCCATGGAAACAGCCTCTTGCAGAAATGCAGTGTAAGGCTGCGTACAATAGATCCTTGCGGTTTGGCCCTTCCTCGGACCCCGCGCATAGCGGGAGCTTAGTGCACCGGGCTGCCTTTTTTTTGTGTATTCTCGTATCCCTTGACTTCTGTGATTACTTGTTATGGTTTTCGCGTCGGCCTTCTGATTGTAGTACCTAGTATATTTAGTTTTGTATTTTTGCTTCGGTTTTCTAATTGGTATGCTTGTTGTTGTTGCCCTTCCTTTTACCTATCTTAAGCCGAGGGTCCTCCGGAAACAACCTCTTTGCCTTCTTGAAGGGGTAGGGGTAAGGTCTGCGTACACACTACCCTCCCCAAATCCCACTTGTGGGACTACACTGGATCTTTTGTTGTTGTTGTCATACAATTTCTAAGCTTTAGTTTGCATAGCTCTGTCATGACATTTTGTTGTGTGTGTGTGGTGTATTCCTAACGTGGAGATATATTCATATTTTTTATAAGTCTAAACCACATGGTAGGGTACACCCTAGACCCTGGGAAGCTAGCTGAAAGTTGAGTGGATGTCGGGTTATTGTAAGATAAATGGACGATAAGATCTCCATATTCCTCTTGAGGCCTATTTTCAGCTCTTATTTATCAAAGTTGTATACCAGGCAATGTGGGAAAACCACTTTATTGGGGTCTCTGGTCTCCCACTCAGCGGTGCTAAGAGGAATAATGTCACCATTGACTCTCTTTAATTCCAAGAAGGGGAGAGGAAGGGTGAAGGATGGAGAAACCAAAAGTTTACTTTTCTTGGGCGGAGTACTGGTGATTTGCTTCCTCTACTATGACTATAAAAGACGTAAAAGATGTTCATTCCTTTTTGTCTAATTTTATTGGGGTTGAAAAGGCTGGAACATTTTCCTGCTATTATCAAAGAAGGGAAATACTCTTAACATATAGTGCATCTGGTTTGCTTTTATCCTCTCATGCTTCCTTTCTTAACCCAACCAAATGCATGAGGTAGCTAAATAGCAAGTATCATTTATGTAGGCACTCCCTTATAGTACAACTCTTTCACTTCCACTACATTGTCATCACATCAAATATGCCGTTAGACCAGCAAATAACATGGGGCATAACTTTTTTAGCCTTGCTTGGATGTTTTGTTTTGCTTTGATGCCAGTATGTCAGGAGGAAATCCAACTGTTTTTATAACTTTATGTGAGACTTAATAACTAGTCACTTTGAGATTTAAAAAAAAGTAAAGTTTAGTAATGCTTTTGGGTTGTATGTTGACTTCCTTAATTGCTTTTCTAAGTACCTGAATTTGAGAATTTTCACTAGTTGTTTGTGAAGTAAGACTTCCTTGATTTTTGATGTGTTTGTGGATATTCACGACTGACGTGATTATGTCAACCAATGATTTATACATGGTAAACTGCAGTTCAAATGTCTCAAAGTTGCTTAAACCAATTAATAGTAGGCTTGCAATATATTTATAAAGTATAGGTCGATCACTGTTTTGATTGTTATCAGTTATTACATGGGACTTGTCGTGTCACTTGCACAATGATATAGCCATATAGGGGCCATTGTTGTAACAGATCTTACATGCCCCTGGATGAAAGGGGGGGGGGGGGGGAGCACTGGTTGTTATGAAATGGATCTCAAACTTAACAATATAATAATATCATGAGATTTTTGTGCATTTGTTCCCTTATATCTTGTTGACAGCATACAGGGTTTTTTTTTTTCCTTTCTGGTTAAACTAATCATCTTTTATGGTTATAAACCTGATTGTAACAGAGCAGAAGTTGTCTTGGGTGCTGTATAAAGCCTCCACATGTTATTTCAGTGGATAGGCCATCCAAAGGACAGAAAGTTCAGGGTAAACGCTTGAGGAAACGTAGTTCAAGGGACGACTTCTGGAGCAGTAGTGCTTGTGAGATGGAGAATAGCGCATTTCCTTCACAGAGAAGCATCTCGTCAATTAGTACTTCAAATCAGGGCCTTGATCCCCATAGTAGCTCCAGCACCACAAACAACAACTCTGAATTTGTAAATCATGGCAAGTGCATATTTCGGTCCTTTTTGCTTTCATCGCGTATCATGGCTATATTTTACCTAGTAGTACCCTTTCTTCGGGATATCCAAATAAGTATTTCCACAGATGGGAAGAATCAGGTTAATTGTGGTAAAGGACATGAAACCTAAATAAGATTTGTAGCTGTAGTGTCCTAAGGGCTATGTCAAAAAAAGAATAAAAGAGAAAAAAATTATCCTGCTATTACACCCGAGAGGATGTGTGGCTTATTGATCAATATATTGGATGAAAAACCATGAGAGATCAGCTGTCATATTCCAGCAGAGACAAAAACCGTTAGGTGATTACTTTCTGTCTGTCTAAACCTTGGTGCGTAGAGTTTGCCGCTATTTGTGTCGATGTGAGATTGAAGGTACTCGGTGGAATAGTCAAGATGGACAAAACCTGGCCCTTCTACCACCGTTATTGAAAAAAAATAGTCTCTACAATTGCGATTTGCAAATATATCAATTGATTCAAAGTTGTGTAATGGTTCATTAACACTTGGTGCGGATAAAACCAGCTCTATATACTGTTCATTCTTTTAGATTTGGCTTATTGCCCATGCAGAGATCCCATCGATCTGGGTGCACTAATTGAAGGAAGGCATGACCTAACTTTGGAAGCACAAGTGCTCTCCTTTTTTCATCTTAGCTTAGTTTTGTGCTTCTCTACATGTGTTTCTTGATATGCTGCTTTGAACATTGGCTGGAACAGGTCTAATTCTTTGGAGTAAAACTAGGCAAGAGTGGATTGGAAATAGAACACATCAGAAGCGTACTGCGGCTCGAGAACCTAAACTAAGGCGAGCATCTTTCCCTTCTAAACATTCCTCAGACATTGGTTCCCTGCTGCTGATGCTTTCAGAGTATCTACTTTTCATACAAGTGTAAATATATATGTGATGAGTGTATCATACTATCATTGCTTGCAGCTTTGATGCGAGTTACGAGACTTTGCTAGGGACCAACAAGCCTTTCCCTCATTCAATCCCTCTATCGGTGAGTCTTGTTAAACTAGCACGATTGTGGTATGTAGTTTTTTCAAGGCTACTTGCTGATTTTCTACATTTGAATTGTCAGGAAATGGTAGACTTTCTTGTTGATGTCTGGGAACAGGAAGGGCTGTATGATTGAACTGGTCTTAACCAACCATTGTATTTCTGTTTGTAAAGTTTACTGAAAGCAGGGCAAAAAAGATTAAAACAGTTATTTTTAGTCACAAGATTTGTATGTTTAAAAAGGAAATACCTGAAAACTTTTCAAATGGAGGAAAGGACCCTTCTTTAATTTGCTAATAAACGAATTTATTTTCAAGCATTCAAATGAGCTGCCTTACTTCTAGATAAATTTCAACAGTAGTATTGGTTATTATTATTTTTTTTTTTAATTTGGTTGAAGATTTTCGAAGACAACATATCTTCCTGTGTTCTTAGTCATGATTTCAATCATTTTGACTCTTATAACTTGCAAAAAGGTGTTTGTAGTGATCCTAAGGAAATATTACCTCCTTTCCATGGAGAATGAAGAAATCCAGAATACGATAGCCAATGCAAATTCGGACACTCAATATTTTAAATCTTTTTTCTATAAACAAAAATCAAAACTAAATATAATATACTACAAAAATATATACGAAAAAATTGTTTGATTTTTCCAATAATAATATGCTCAATCACCTACACCTTGCGCAGTTCAACACGAACGGTTGTAGTGAAGAGCAAACTTTATTTTGACTTATCTAAACGTGTCTTTTGTAAAAGTGAAATGATTCAAGTTATATACGCTGATATAGATTCTTTTTTTTTTTTTTTTTGTGCCGATAGTGAATGTTTAGCGTAAAAAATTATATGTAATTAGCATATAAGTAACCCGATAAACATTTTTTCAACGTTAGTAGATAAAGCTTTAACTCAAATTGAAATATTTTGTCTCAATTCTTAGCAGAGAGAAACTGTATGACTAACCGAACTAAGGGCACTTTTATTTGTCTATTTTTATCTTGACTTATCCAAATGTGTCTTGAGCAAAAGTGAAATATTTTCTCTTAATTCTTGGAACTTGCTGGGATAAATAAGGGAAAAGAAGATTTATTGAAGGTTTCTAGATCATTATTATGTTCACATTGACATAGGCATAAGGGTCAATTATGTAAGAACAGGTAGTGGGGAATTTCAAGCATTATATGATTGAATAAAAGAAGAGAATTAGGTGTATGAAGACACACACAGTGGCAGGCAGAGAATATAATAATGCAAAATGCCATGATTTGTAAAAGGAAGACTTACATGTCAATGTATATTATGTGCCAAACACACTTTGAATTTACTTAAACATAATAATTGACTAATACGTCTCTAAAGTTACTACTGTTACTAAAGCAGTCCTCATTTATTTCATTTCATACACAATTGCCTTTTTTGACTAAATATGTATTAAGTGGTGTTTGGGTCCTACATGTTATGCCCCTTTGGGGACATGGGTAGAATTGTATTAGCAGGACGATTCATGTTTCTTCACATTTAATCATAAGTTCAAATTTGAGCTACGAGAATAAAAACTCCCTTTGTAAAACGCACTTTATCTCCTTAACGAACTTATTCGATTTGATGTGAATTCGAATTAGTTGAGCCAATCAATTTTGACTACTCAAACCAAAAAGGGAACAAGAATATTTCATCCTCAAGTCCCTATCTTGTTCTTTTGACAAATTTTGACACCTTCAATATTTCTATAATTCTATCCCGTTTTCTAGTAACACTTATTTCATCCATAGTATTAGTTGTATTTTACTACTCCAAAGTCCAAACTGTGGGTTAAGAGACAACATATTCAGTATAAGAGAAAAATCTTAACAACGAGAAGGAAAATTTCCATAGCAATTGAGTCAAAGTACTATAAGGTCATTAACGGTAGGTGTCACAGAGGCGATTTTCGTCAGCCCAGAGTCACACTCGCGTGGCGTTTGAGTTGCGCACTTGACTCAGCCTTTCCAATACTTAACCAAATTTTCAGCAAGTTTGTACTTAGATTATTTTAGACAACAAATGTAAATAAGAACACAATCAAATACGAGAAAATTCCTACATTTGTATTAATTCGAAAAACTTACAAAGGAAACTCTCGCTTGACTATGATCACAAGTCGATTAGAACCCCACTTTGACAAAGAACACAAGTCGTTCTTTAGCCAACACTAAGACCTGCCCAATGTCTAGCCTTAGTCCCTTTTGAAACACTTCGAAACCCTCATGTTTCACTCTTGTTTTCCTTTTGAATTTCACACGAAATTCCACACACCCATCTGACTAAGTCCAAAGGCACCTATTTATAGCATATAGGCAGCCTTTGGCACTTGACAGTGCATTCACACTTGTTGTCTACAGCTTTTGTCACTTGGCGGGCTAATGTTAAATCTGTTCGTATCTTGTAGTTGACATCCCCAACTACATAGGCCATGATCTACACAAAATGATAGTGGATACAAGCATAAAACAGTCATGGGTAAAAGTAGTTACAAAAAAGTAATCGCCAACTACTTTAACATGTGCACTGCATGTGTGCTTTTGCTGGCCAGCTGCTCCACGCCCAAGGTTGGCATTGCGCCCAGCCTTGGTTCCTTTTGACTTTTCTCCGCACCAATGCCTTGCTCGCAACCTGCCGCTCATGACTTTGTCTCACACGCTCGACGCCACTGTTGCCTGCACATGCCTTGGCCAAGTTTCTGCCTTGTCCATGTCAACTCTTGTTTCACCCATGCCAATGCTTGTATTTTGCTTCACATAACCGTGCCTTAGCTATTTAAAGCCTTTTCCATCATCCCACGGTGTTTTGCCTTAGCTTAGCCCGCACTTGGTATTGTCACTGACTTTGGCGCGCATGTCATGCCATGCCGTCCCAACTTGCCCATAATGCCTTGTCAAGCCTTTGCCAAGCTTGTCTTGCCTGCCTCAAAACCTTGGCCAATACTGTTAATATACTGTATTTGTAAACTAATTCTGGAAAAGATAGAATTTTATATAAACAGAAAATGTAAACCAAACAAAAGTTTATCCGAGCCCACTGAATTCACAGTGTTTCGTTAAGGAATTTAATCCCCTCCTAGTACCCAAGGTTATGGATTATTTCCTCCCAGGATAGAATGAATTACACACTGGTGTAGTGGTACTTCAAACCACAGTGTTTCAGCGAACACAAAGTTCGGTAGGAAATCACACTTACTGTTTCTTTCTTTGAAGTTAAAAGTATGCAGAAGAAAGGAGGAGAACTCAGAAAATCGTATGGAAAATCTGAGAGAATGGACTTCTATTTATAGCCAAGGTTGGGCTGAAAACTGAAGAGGTGCAACTCTTCAGAATGGTTGTTTGTGCAAAAAGACCATAGCATAAATGCCATAACGTAAATGGCTATTTACACAAAAATAAATCGGAAATTCAAGAGAGAGGTTAATTTTTAGTTACACAACTGAAAAACGAAAAACAGATAACGGAAAAATGTTTAATATTCCATTGGATTTAATATTAATATTAATATGAATACTAATATTCTGTTATTAAATTAGATATTTAATAACATTTCTATTAATATTTACTATTAACAAATAAATTTGGTCCAAAAAATCAATCAATCATTTGACCAAATCCAAATCTGAAGCCGAAACCGAGCCGAGCGAGCGACAACGACGACGGCGCGAGGCTTGCTAACTCTTTAAGAGCTAGAAGAAGAACAATTGCTTATATACCCATCAAAAACCTCTTCCTCTTCCAATATGGGACAATGTCCATTTGTCAAGGAGGGAATCTCAAATGAAACTCAAATATTTTATTTTTCCCTCCATTTCTCATTCACCCTTTTTTAAGCCTATTTTAATGCTTAAAGCCCCAACAATCCCCCACATGAATGGGGAATGGCTATATCACGGAAATATGCATGAAAAGTGTGTGATTCGCAAGCAAGGTTTAACTGCATCTGGATAAGTAGGTTTCCTTTGAACTTTTCGTAGTGAACTTATGTAGGATATACTCGATCAATCGGTAGATTTGATATCTTTGAACCGTCGAACTTTGGTGTATACCTACCTAGACAACCATAAGTCACACAATCAAACCTTAACCATCTTTGGTTCTCATTGTTGTGTTCGTTTCAGTCATGAACACCGCCTGGTTTCATAAGTGCATAGAGAACTGGCCTTACAAAATTCTCCTTGAAGCGGCTAACACTTCACACTTAAATAGGTGATTTCTAAACGTGTCATCCCGTAGATACACTATTTGATATACCCCGTATCAAATTTAGAAATCATTAAAAAGCCTTAATGCTTTGTCCTTGATACTTAACATTGTCTCATCACGAGAATTGACCAAAATTTCAGTTGACAATATTGAACCGTCATTAATGACTTTGTTTGATCTCCTTGAACCTAGATCTTGGGATCTCCAGTCTTCTAGGTAGAGTTACCGCCACAATGACTTGTTCTCGGCCATAGTCCCATTCCCCTTAATGATTTCTCAACTACCTCTCTAGTTAGGCCTTTTATAAGTGGATCCGACACATTATCACTTGACTTTACGTAGTCAATCGTGATAATTCCTCTAGAGAGTAATTGCCTAACGGTTTTATGTCTTCGTCGTATATGACGAGATTTACCGTTATACATAACGCTCCCAGCCCTTCCATCACAATGTATGCATATTGGTGCCAACGGTTTGGACCAAAATGGAATGTCTTCCAAGAAATTTCGGAGTCATTCACCTTCTTCACCGGCTTTATCTGAGGCTATGAATTTAGCCTCCATTGTTGAGCGGGCAATACAAGTTTGTTTAAATGACTTTCAAGATACCGCTCCTCCACCAATAGTGAATACATATCCACTTGTGGACTTCAAATCAGCTGAACCGGTGATCCAATTTGCATCACAGTATCCCTCAATCACCGCAGGATATTTGCTGTAGTGCAAAGCAAAGCCCTGGTATGTTCTAAATATCCCAAAACTCGTTTCATTGCCATCCAATGAGATTGACCTGGATTGCTCGTGTATCGACTCAATTTACTTATAGCACAAGCTATATATGGTCTTGTACAATTCATGATGTACATTAAGCATCCCAACACACGAGCATAATCCAATTGTGATATGCTTTGGCCTTTGTTCTTTGCTAATGCAAGATTCACGTCAATTGGAGTCTTTGCAACTTTAAACCCTAAGTGCTTGAATTTTTCAAGTACTATCTTAATATAATGAGATTGTGACAATGCCAGACCTTGAGGAGTCTTATGGATCTTAATCCCCAGAATTAAATCAGCAACTCCCAAGTCCTTCATACCAAACTT